TCTTGCTTCCACATTCCTTACCAATCTACTACTCCTATTTCTTTGCTTACCTGTTCTACAAAACTAGTTGTAAGAACTGTCTATGCTCACTATCTACAGCTCTTTTCCTATTTTCTCTTAGTATAAGATGTCCATCCACATTCCTCTTCCCAAGACGTTCTTTCATGTCCCTGACCATCCATCTAAACTGACACTCATGAGGATGACATGGTGAGGACCTGCCTGGTTTTGCAGTCTGGTTTTGCTCCCCTTCCATTCCACTGAAAGCCCCATAGTCAAGGTCATGAAGGACCCCCTCACTGCTAAAGCCAACGGTCAATTTTCAGTTATCTTACTTGGTCAGTCAGCAGCATTAATAGGGTTAAATACTCTTCCTCTATACCCTTTGTTCATGTTTTCCAGGCAACCACACTAGGTTTTCTATTTCACTGGTTGTTCCATCTCAGTTTTTTTTTGGAGATTCCTCTTCTCCTCCCAACCTCTCAGTATTGGAGGAATTCAGGGCTCAGCCCTGGTCTTTTTCTCCTATTTCCAATCCTTTGGTGATCCCATCCAGTTTCATGCCACCTAAATACTGGAAATTCCCATAATGTATCTCCAGAGCAGACCTTTTTTCTTAAACTGCAGACTCACATATTCAATTGCCTAATCAACATCTCCACTTTGTTTAATGCATATTTCAAAATTAGCAAGTCTAAAACTGTCTAGCAAGCAAGTCTAAACAAGATCTGCTAGTTTAGACTGTCTAGACTAGTCTAAATTAGGCTGTCTAGCCTAACAAGTCCAAAACAGAACTCTGATATTTCTCACCAAACCTGCACCCTCTGCAGCCTTTCCTCTCTTAGCCGATGAAAACGCTATTGTTCCAAGTTCTTGGCCAAAAGTCTTCTGTCATTCCTGTCTCCTCTCCACTTATCATACCTCACATCTAACACATCAGCAGATCCTTCTGGTTCTACTTTCAAAATACATCCAGAATCCATGTGCCTCCTACCAACACTACTGTTACCATCCTGGGGCAAGCTACCATTTTCTTTTGCCTGAATTATTGCAAAAAACTCCCAACTGATCTCTTTACTTTCACCATTCTCTTCCTACAATCAATTTGTAATATGGCAGCTACAGTATCATTTAAACATAGTTAGGTGACATCACCTATTCAAAACTCTTTCAGTGGTTTTGAGTAAAAGCTAAAGCCCTTAAAATAGTCTTCAAGGCCCCATCTGATCTAATACACCACTTCTACTTGCCATCCATTACCTTGTTAACCTAATCTCTCATCCTCTATCTGCTGTATCCACTAGATGCCAGGAGTATCTCTCTTCTCTCTCAAGTTGTGGTAATCAAAAATGTCTGCAGACGTTACCATATGTGACCAAAAGTCGCCCCTGACTGAGACCCTTGCTTTAACCCAAGGAGTAAGGACTGCAGGAATCTTGCTTTTTCTTTGAGTTGTGAAGTTCTACCAAAAGCAGACAGCCCGCCCCATAGTGCTTGTATTCCTCAGGTTTTTGATGTTTCCCAGAGCGTCAGGTAAGCACAGGCATTATGAACTGTTTCACCATCACATGCCATTCACTTTCTGTAACACTAGCTGTATCCTCACTGCCTTTAACCCAACCAAGCCAGATAACGATAACGAATTCACATTATTGGGGGCCTCTTGCTTGAAACCCCTCAGAGTATCAATCGCCATTATCAGAATCCCAGCTGTTAACAACACAACCAAATTTACTTAGTTTGAGCACAAATGAAATGCATTCAAGATCAGTAGGTGGCTCTCAGTACTTCCTAGGAAGGCAAGAGAGAGAAGCTGAGTGGTGGCTACCTAGCCAAGGGCAGTGCTGAAACCTCAGGAGAGGAATGTCCTGGTGAAGACCGCTTTGTGCTGCCACTGGGTACAAATGCCATAGCTTGTACATGGGCGCACCTGATACCAGGGGCCCAGGTTGCCACACCCTAGCTGGAAAACGGCTTTTATGACTTCTGCTTTGGAGAGGTGATTCACAGGGTGGAAAATTTCCCAAACATAGGAGAGTTGTTCAAATACCACTAAAGCTGCCAACAGCAGAACAATTGTATCAGACTATTGAAAAAAATTAAACCAGAGCATATATTCTCCTCAACTTACTGTTTCTTTTTCTCAGGTAGTGAACATAGGAAACAAACTGAATTTCTACAAATAAGGGTGAGGTGACAATCTATGAATGCTTTTAGAAAAAAAGCAAATTTCATTTTCCATCATGTTTTGAAGGATACTGGCTTAATTCAGTTATTATTCTCACTGTTGGTTTACAGAATAAACATATAAAATGTATTGCAAATACAAATTATTTTCATTCCAATGGAGAAGAAAATTACAGGCTCAAAAATCAAGTTTAATATCAAAAGAAGTTACATATAAAGGTTTTTACATTTCCGAAAATCTGATAGTTAAATATCCCCAGTCTGGTATTGATTGTGATACAACTTAGGTGAACCCCTGAAAACTTTTATTTTGAAATTGAAGTTTTTGCTCAGAAACTGGGCAGAACTTTTCACATTCTGACAGAATATAAAACTTAAGTCTAAAAAATATTCGGTAACTTTTTTGTCAAAAACATTAGGCACTTTAGAATATAAAGCAGAAACTCTTACCAAGCACGTGTACCCAACAGCCACACCTCCCGTCTTTGGGGGAATTTGGTTACCTGGAGCTCTGTGGGTACTATATGAATCCTAGAGACAGCAAACTTCTGCTGTACAGCTAACTTACAAGGGCCTGAACCCGGCTGATGGCAGCAAGCCTGCTATAGTCCAGAAGAGTGCGACTTCTCATATTTACATATGAACGCATCTGTCTTTCCAAGGCTAACTTTGTAGCATTCCACTGGTACCAAGGAGCCAAATGGTGACATTCTGTCTAAGAACTCGTGGTTCCTGGCTTCGAATGAAGTTGACACTATCTTGGATGCACCAGTTTTTTCTTCAGGATTCAAGCACTTTTTAATTCCAGGTTCATCTGTGTGACTGTCCTTGGAATTGAAAGGGATGCTGCTCTCTTTACAATCTGTAAGGCGCCTGTGGTGATCTTCACTAAGCAACAATACAATGGTTCCGCCAACATGAAGCACTCTGACAAAAAAAAATGGTAATTGCTATCTTTCTCCCTTTCTAGACAACAAACAATCCCACTTCATTTAAAATATTTCGTGTTTTTAATTTGAAATTTAATTTTATCCATTTAAATACAAGGATTTTTGATAATTAGGTAGTATCTTCTATAATGTATATTCATTATAGTAATTATGAAATCCCTAGTACAAATCTGCTTTAATTATCTATTTTTACTCCACTTAAAAGGCAAGCCTCAAAGTAATTTGTAGTCACAGTCTAATAAATGATTGTACAAAGGAAAAGGCGAATGACAGAATCCTAAAGACTGCATGTATTAAAAGCAGTAGGCTGACAGCAGAAGAAAGTTAACAGGAAAGAGTTAGGACATGAACAAAGAAATGGCAAAGCAAAAATCAGAAAAAGAAGGGCAGATCTTGAAATGTCAGCTTTTTGAGGAGAATGCATTTACTCAATTATCAAAGTCTGTGTAGCACTTATGTGGAAAAAGTGATGAAAACACTTGCCTGTGTCCCGCACACAGCCCTGGAAGTTGCTAAGAGATCACTGAACATCTCTTTGGAAGAGAGAGGCAAGTAAAGGGAGTGAAATGCTACAATCAAGGCAGGCACGAGGGGCTTGGGAACATGAGGTGGGTCCCAAACCCGGGCATGGGAGAAAGGGGAGCATTTCCCAGAGGAAGATACCTGTGCTGTGAGTTAAAAGATAAGCAGGAATGAGCCAGGCAAAGCGACGGCAAGCGGCTGCAGCAAGGGAGGATGCTGGAAGCAGAAAAAGCAGCAAAGATGGGAGGAAGTAGAGGGGAGGCAGCTCTGAAAGCAGCTCAGTGGGTGGGTGAGTCAGAGCGGGTGGGAGGTGGAGGGAGGAGGGGAGTAAGGAGTTCAGCTTGGAATTTGCTGATGTACCTAAGGAACACGTAAGTGTGGATTCCACCAGGCTGCTGGATACACAGCCTGGAGTAATGGAAAAGACCAGGCCTTGAGGTAAAGAGATAGTAAATGGTAGCTAAAGCCATAATGGTGGATGGGATCATCTGGGGTGGCAGTACAGGTTGAGAAGAGAAAATGGGACAAGGAGCCAGAGATTTCACGTTTTAAAAGTGACAGAGGAGAAGACCCATGAAATAGACATCCTCAGAGAAAATCTGGACAACAGTGATGTCAAGGAAGCCAAAGAAGTACAGTTTCAAGAAGGAAACAGTTTCAACAGTGTTAAATGCTGTAGGGCCGGCATGGTGGCTCATGCCTGTAATCCCAACAGTTTGGGAGGCTGAGGCAGGAGGATCGCTTGAGCCCACGAGTTTGAGACCAGTCTGGGCAACATGGCAAAACATGTCTCTACTAAAAAAACCACAAAAATCAGCCAGGTGTGGCAGCGTGTGCCTGTAGTCCCAGCTACTTGGGAGGCTGGGATGGGAGGACTGCTTGAGCCCAGGGGGCAGAGGTTGCAGTGAGCTGAGATTGCACCAGTGCACTCTAGTCTGGGCAACAGAGAGAAACTCTGTCTTTAAAATAAAATAAAAAATATATAAATACAATAAAATAACAAATGCTATAGGACTAATAGGTGATGAGGACTATGAGAAATCATCAGTGACCCCAGGGACAGCAATCCTAGCTGAAGGCAGGAGCAGATGCTCGTCTGCCAGGGTGGAGTGGGACTGGAAAGTGAGGAAGCAGAGGTGTCAAGTGTAGACTATTATTTCAAGAAGTTCAGCTGTACAGGCGAAGAAACAGAGTGGCAGCTAAAGGACCAAGAGTGAAGTGGAATCTGCCTCATGCCCAGCAAAAATCTAAGAAGCTTAGGTAGCATTCCCTAGTCTAATCCATCAGCAAAGCTACACAATTCTGTCTCTAAATTGTATCACATATTTGTCTACTTCATTCATAGTTTGCTGGGACCACAGCAACAATCTGGTAGACAGGTCTTGTTTCCATTCTTGTCGCCCCTCCCACTCTGTCTTCCATTTCCACACAGAAGACAAATGTAAATTCTCTAACTCCTCAGTTGCTCGCACTGTACTTCAAATACATTCTAACCCCCTTACTCTGGCAACCAAGGTTCCTACGCAATCTGACCCTCACCTACTTTTCTGATGTCACAGCCTGCTTTCTTTGCTTACTGACCTCCTTCAGCTGCTCAAACTCACCAAGCTGCTTCTCACCATAGGACATTTGGACTTGCTGTTCACCCCGCATTTATCACTCACGCTCATCATTCATGTCCCACAGTCAAATACCACTTTCCCAGAGAGGCCTTTCCTGACTACCTAGCTAGGGTAACCACTACTTTTCTCTCACTCTAAAGCAAAACATTTTGTTTTATGTCCATCACAGTACCAGTCATGATCTGATATTATCCAGTTTGTTTACTGATTAACCATCTGTCTTCTCACAATGAATGGGCAGAGACCTTGCCTGTCCTATTCACTGCAGTAATCCCCAGGGCCAAGTACATGGAAGTGCATAGGAGATGCAAAGACTTCCAAACGTGTCTGGGGAAAGGATAAATGAATCTCCTGGAAAGAACCAGCAGATGAGTAGGCAGAAGATAAAAATGAGAAGTGGGCAGAGTGTGATCCTTGAGGAGGAAGGAACTGAGAGGATAAACCCTCACAGGAAGAGGGAAACCTCTTCTACTGAGCAAGGAGGAAGTGGATGGGAAAATGAGTACTCCTGAAGACATCAACTGAAATAACTTTTTGGGGCAACAGTTTAGCAATAATGTATCAAAAATATGAAATGTGCATAACCTTTGACCCAGCAATCTCACTTCTAGGAAATTATCCTAAGAAAACGTAACAGTAGAAGTGGTAGTAGAATAATAGCGATAATAATGGTGATACAGCTAATATTTATTGAGGATTTAATATGTGCCATCAGTTGGAAATGCTCTGTATTATATATCATTTAACCTTCAGAATTATCTTTCTAAGTATGTTCTATAGCATTGTCATTTTGCAGATGAAGAAACTGGTACTGTGGTGCTTGGTCGTACAGTTAAGTTTGAAAAACCATGCAAGGATGTTCAAAGAATAGTTTTTTATTAAAATAAAAAATTGAGGATTATCTAAATACCAATCCATAAGCACTGGTTGCATAATGGTACATACATATAATGTGGCAACCACTGAAAATTATAATTTATATTATAACAACTGATCAGAAAGGAGATTCATGACACTGCTGAGTAGAAAAAAAGCAATGTTACAGTATAGTAAGTTAAGGATAATCCCATTTATGTAGAGTAGAAAACATGTATCTTTTTGTACATATATACATGGCAAGATGCCTAGAATTTTCTCTATCTAAAACACATGGCTCATATTTTAAATTGGTGACCCATTATTTACACAGCAGGCTCTTGACATTTATGTTATCAAATGCCCACCTAAACAATTTAATATCAACTGAACTCTTATATTCATGTCCATTCATAACTATATGCATTCTAGGTTCTCTTCTTTACCAATTTAGACGATGAGAAAAATGCATATCCATGCCTCATTATTTCAACCTCTCAAAGAAATGCTTCCATTGAATTATATTCCCTTACGTCATTAGAAACCATAAGATGAATACTTTCACATTTTCATTTCACAGCTGCTATAGTTTGGATGTTTGTCCCACTATACCTCATGTTGAAATTTGATCCCCAGTGTTGGAGATGGGGCCTAATGGGAAGTGTTTGGGTTACGTTGGCAGATATCTCATGAATTGATTAATGCCCTCCCTGTGAGGGGCGATGAGTGAGTTCTCACTCTATTAGTTCTAGGGAAAGCTGGTTGTTAAAAAGAGCCTGGCACCTCGCCCTTCTTCCTCTTGCTTCCTCTCTTGCCATGTGATCTCTGCACACTGGGTTTGCCTTCTGACATGAGTGGAAGCACCCTCGGGCCCTCATCACAAACTGAGCAGATGCTGGCACTGTGCTTCTTTTACAGACTGCGGAATCACGAGCCAAGTAAACCTGTTTTCTTTACAAGCTGTCCAGCCTCTAGTACTCCTTCATAGCAACAGAAAATGGACAAAGACAACAACAAATAATAAAGGTGTTGCTCATTCTATGTTATGGAAGGTTCTTTATGTAACAGAATTTTGTTCTGTTGTTTAGCAGCTGAGTGATCATAAGAAAGTTAATCTTTCCGTGCCCCAGATTCTCATCTGTTACGTGTAGTGGATTAACACACAGAAGGCAGGTTTTTTTTTTGTGAGGGATAGAAGCAAATATGTAAAATTTTGCTTCAGACCACTGAAATATAGGTCACTATTTCATACATTCAAATCTCAGTACATAATAGAAAATTAGTATTTTTTCTGAATAAAATTTATAAGATGATATGGATAACATTTATTTCAATTATAAACTTCTGACTTAAAACCCTTAGAAAATTAAGCTACAAAAACTCTGGGAAATTACTATAAGGCAATCAGACCTTAACTGAAGAGCTATGATGTATTTCGGTTAAATGCCCAGTAGCTAAAAAAATTATGAAAATAAATTCAGCAACTTACCTTTCCATTTCTTGTAGAATGCTTTTGATGTCTTTTCCTAACTTAAACTTTTTCCCAAATGGAATGTCAGAAATAATAATATCAACACTTTCTGAAGGCAATGGCAATTCTGAAATACAGAAATCAGATAATCCTATTACAGTAAGGTCAAATATTTACAACCTAAATAATGAGAAAATTGAAGTACACAGGATTATTTTTGCATAATAGATAAAATTTAGGGTTGCTAATATTGTTTTAAAGTAATTACAAGATCCCAAAATGCTTTCACAATCACTAATGATAAATGATATAGTTATTGTAGTCTGTTCGTCGAAAATTGGTTTTTCAGATACAATAAAATGTAAGTTAAGCAGAATTTTAAATTAACCAGAAAACTCAATTCTCTAAATATACAGCTTGTATAGAAAGCTGCTAGCTCCACTAAGTTGCCTAGAAAAATCTTCTACAAAATTATATTCTACAACTTTCATTTCCTATTTTAAAACTGTACATTTAGATCTACTTGTTTTTGAGGGAGACGACCCATAGCTATGATTGTATTTTTAAAGGAGAACTTGGAAGGTTAAGAATATCTATTAAGTCCTAAGACTAGAGAAAAGGCTATATAATCAATAATCAACACAATGATTATCACTAAAAATTATAGTGTCTGATTATTCTAAATTGCTTTATTATCTTAATGTTTTCTTCTCAGAAGTTACATTATCAGAAGGTAACAAAGACTCTACCCTAACATCCACATCTTCTGGATGTACTTTCCACTTTTTACTTACTTTACTTCTCATCCATCTCCTAAATTAAGTTAAATACTCATAAGACGGATGTCCCAGTTTTCATTTTGAATAGTACCTAATTTTGCAGAAATGTAATGAAATTTAAATAATCTTCACTAAATATCAACAGTTTCTGTTGGTAGGAAATTTGATAAAAAATGCTTTGTAATCTGGGAAAGTCTAATGACTACTTGGCTAGATCTCTCCTAGTTCTAACCCTTATGTGGGGTTAACAGAAGAAGAGTAGATTGTTAAAAGAAAAAAAAAAAAAAAAAAAGAGGATAATATTCTTTTAAGCTGAGACAGGAATTCCTTTTTTCCAAGTTATGTTTTAACCTCATGGTTTTAGGGTGTTGATATAGTACACATCCATTTACAAAATGACTAAAGACAATATATGAACAATGAAGGCAACCATAGTTCTCAAATGTTTTATTTATGAGGAAGCATGTAGTAATTTACTTTTGAATTTAATCCCAAGTCTGTCTTTTGCCTTACACTACACAGAAATACAGTACCTACATATGAGTTAGCTGCCCATTATGTCCAGGTTTAGTAACACTAATTTTTTTCTTCTGGGTCTCCATTTTTATTGGGAACTTTGCTGCTCTATATTATATAATATGCTAAACTGCTTTAAATAATTTTAGAAGTTGAATACATAAACTTCATATAGATAGAAGAGAATAATTTTTTAAAAAAAATCTCCAGAACTAAGTTGTGTCATCTTCCAATAGAGCATAAAATAAAGCTTTTGTTGATGTGGCTGAGAGCATAAGCTCTGGTGTCAGACAGCTTGCATTTGGCTCTGCTGCTCACGAGCTGTGGGACTTTGGGAAATTACTGCTTCAATTTCTTCATCTGTAAAATGGAATAAGAATATGTACCTCAGAAGTCAATAAAAGAGGTAATATATGGAAGACATGTAACAGGGCCTGGCACAAAGTGAGCACTCAGTAACTGTTAGCTGCTTTGTGGTCATTATTTATAATGTCCCTCTCTGATGTCAATGGGAGATGACAGCCAGGTGGAAACCAGTGCGCCATCCTTCAGAAAAGCTTTGCAGAACACAGTATCCCCTTCTCTCTCATTCTTGGACATCCAAAGTTGAGGTAAGGCAACTACTTCCAGGTCGGCCTCTCTCCTACTCTCCTTTCCTCTATCAGTGGTTCTCAAAGTGTGGTCCCCACAGCAGCAACGTCAGTATCATCTGGAAAGTACAACTTAGTGCGTATTAGAATCAACTGAAAGGTCTTTATAAAACAGATTGCTGTCCCCACCTCCATATGTTTAGATGCAGATACTCCTAGAACCGGGAGCACCTGACCCATACAACTCAACATACAGTAAAATCTTTTAAATTATTAGATGCTCTGAATACTGCTCGTGAACAAAAAATTTGCTTGTAACTAATGAGCTAAGATTCTGAAATAGAAACATAGCTCAAAACAAGTAAAAATCATCTCTTTTTTACATCTCTGCAGGATGATTCAAGAACATGAAAAAAATTTAGTTTTAAAATACCAGTTGTTTTGAAGAAAGAAAAACTGCCCTATTTTTCCTACTTCCAGGAGAAAAACGGGTAAAAATTTCCTAAACCTCAGGATTATGGCCCCAAGATACTTTCTTCCAAAGGGATTTATGGGCCTTCAAGATGTCTTTTCATGCATATATTTAGACTAAAGACCAGGTTCATTGAGCACTTTTATAAAATTGAGCATATCCTTCTTCCTATTTTTGTTCCTTGTTCTTTCTGCTGTTTATTCTTTCTATTGTCCAGGTTTATAATATTCAGATTCTGTCTCCTAACAGTAATTCCCATAATTGTTCAAACTTAGTTCTATAGTTAATTTCATCCTTATCACTAATCATTTTGCCTTTATTTTCTCCATTTCTCAGCTGATTAATCTCTCAATCCCTGGAATTAAACAGTTTTCCCCATAAGGGCTTAGTTGTGAAATGTTGTCTGAACTTTTTCATATTTCAAAATGTTTGGCTTTAAGATGATGTTTTGGTTAGGCATAATATTTTTGGGTCACACTTTGCTTCGGTAACTTTGTAAATAACCACTCTTCTATTGTCAAATGCTCTGTAACATTTTCTTTCCATTGTGGCCAAAATATATTTTGAAGTTTATTGCATTAGATTATGACCTTCTCTTGTTTGGTTGCTGAATTTGTTTCTTTGATGATTACTATTCTTTTTCTCATTTCAGTAAATACAAGAGGGGGTAAAGCTTTCAATGAAATTTCAATCTGCCGTCTTAATCAAGAAGTCCATAAACATTAGTCTTAAACATGCAAAATGTAGTCTGGCATCTGGATTGGGTCACCATACAATTTACAGACCAAATGAACATTTCTGAGAAGCGAATGCTAGAAATAACTATGCTAGTTATTTTATATGAAAATCATATGCTTGAAATATTTGAAATATTTATTATCCAATAAACTGGCTTATTATGGTGGCCCTAAAAACATCTGTGCAAAATGAAATTTTTAAGTTTAACAGAAGACTATTTTTTTTTGAGAAAAAATAATTTGCCTACAGTGCTAATATCTGAACAAGTTCTGGTAAATGAAGTATACTTTCAGTTCAATTTTTTCATATGGGAAGGGTAAATATTTCAGCCCTCCAGTTCAGTCCCTCCACTGACAGTGCCTTTGACAAATATGTTCACAATACAAAACGCAAATTACCTCTATCATTCTTTTAATTGTTTTACCAAATTTAGATCATACAAAGTTAAGGCCTTCACAAATTCATTCCATTCCATTCCATTCTAGACTACAAATTTACCCAATTACAATAAGGAAAGTCATCAGGAGATTCTTTCCATACCATATCCAAAGTAAATTTACAGAATTTCATAATTAAGTCTTGTGCATTGTTGAGCTTTCAATAATTTGTTCATTTCTTCCTTCGGGTTTTTAGGAAAAGATGATCAATGTCTTCCTGCTGCCAGCTTTGTTTTTAACAACTGTAATTCACCAAAAAATTCAAACCTCATGTATTTTGACACTTCATTTGTTGAATCCTTTGATTACAGATTTCTAGTATATTCTGAATAAAATGCCATCAAAATTAGGCAACTTTTTTGGTAAAGTTTACAGCACTATCCTAGGACACTTTGGCTGATTTACAGAGCAATTCTTTGAAGGCTTACACTTTAAAATCCAACTGATGGACAAGCAGAGAAAGTGTACTGCTATGCGGAAGTATTTTTTTGCATTCAGTCATCTTCATCACAAATAGTTTGCAGTTCAGCTATTCTGTGTATATTTTAAAAAGAAGGATGGGTGCAGTGGTTCACACCTGTAATCCCAGCACTTTGGGAGGCCAAGGCAGGTGGATCATGAGGTCAAGAGATCAAGACCATCCTGGCCAACATGGTGAAACCCTGTCTCTACTAAAAATACAAAAATTAGTTGGGCGTGATGGCATGCGCCTGTAGTCTCAGCTACTCGGGTGGCTGAGGTGGGAGAATTGCTTGAAGCCAGGAGGCGGAGGTTGCAGTGATCTGAGATCGCGCCACTGTACTTCAGTCTGGCGATAGAGAGTCCGTCTCAATGAAAAAAAAAAAAAAAAGTGGCCAGGTATGGGGTGGCTCACACCTGTAATCCCAGCACTCTGGGAGGCTGAGCTGGGAGGATCAATTAAGACCAACCTGGGCAATACAGTGAGACCCCACCTCTATTTTTTTAAAAAAAGAACATTAGCCAGGCATGGTGGTGAGCGCCTCCTACAATCCCAGCTACTTGGGAAGCTGGGATGGGAGGACTGCCTGAGCCCAAGAGTTCGTTCAAGGCTGCAGTAAAGCTATAATCAGACCACTGCACTCTAGTGGGTGACAGAGCAAGTCCCTGTCTTAAAAAAAAACAAAATTCAATTATTTTGACAAATGTCTATTTCAATGGACACTGCAGCCTGTTGGGAGATAATTATGATTTATACAGGTGTAACAATGAATTTCAAGTGCCTTTCTGCTCCATAGGTTTTAGTAAGAATATTAATTTTTAGCATGATGTTGTGGCCCACCACAGTAATGCATAAGCACACAGATGGGCAATGCCGAACTGAATTTACAGGAGCATTCACAAAGAAGTTACACCTTTGACAAAAAAAAAACCTGACGAAATTTCTAAGAATTAGGGTAAAAAGGAAACAAAGCTACTACTGGAATTGACTTAACTGATTATCTTTCTAAATCATGTGATGATATTGATACAAAACTGGCAACACTTAACTGTCTGCAAAGGTCTGCTAATGAAGCGAGCACACTAACAGTACCAGCTTCATTTTGCTTAGGTACGTAACAAAACTCACAATTGAA